CAGAGCAAGGCTTTGGGCATGTTTTTATGAGAGTATAGCATTATAACATGATATGATGTAAAACTCAAAGTAAATTTTACATGATATTGCCCCTTTTAAAAGGTATAAATACTTTTTGCATTTTGTATTTAGGTTTGATTTAAACTTACTGTTCTCCTTTCAATTTTTTTTCAGGATACATTTTACTGTACGTTACACTAGTATACTAGTATATGTATAACTATACATGTGACAAAGTATCTTGGACCTTGCGCAATATGTAAATGGACTTATTAGTAATTTCTAAATTAGATTATTTTAAAAAGAAACTTGTGGGAATAATATTTTTTAATGCGGAAGTTAAAATCTATTTTTTATCTTTGTTTAGAAGCTTCCTCACATACTTTGTTGATTTAAAAATTAAATGTGTTTTTTGTTTACAAATATATATTTTTTTCTGTCTGCCAGGCTTTCACAGAAACTCATAAAAAAAGGCTGGTCTCCTGGAAGCAGCAGGTCCTCAGTCTGCTGCGCCTGTTTCCTCGGAAAGCTATGCCGGACATGTCAGCGTACCGACAGAAAGGGTGAGAATACCTGCCTTCTCTTACCTTTGATCTCCGACTTAAGCAGCACAGATGTCAAACTAACTTAATGTATCCTTCTGCCCTGACTCATCCCTACCGCTTTTGCTTTTTTTCCCCCTTCTCATTAAAATCATTACCATCATTCAAATGAAATATTGCTTCAGCAGCTGGCACACTCCCTCTGCTGGCAATTTCAGATTCTTATTTCTGTTCTGTTTTTGTTTTTTTGCTGTTTCAGCTGGAACTATGGGTCAAACTCCCTCCCCACAGCAGGCTCTGTGAGTGGAGGTGTAAGCCGGCGGGGCCAAAGGCAGTTCCAAATGACCCCCCGTGTTCCCCCAACTGGGCGCATGTGTCTTCCTGGCGGGATCGGGGGAGCGTCTCCACGCCACACGCTCACTAATCCTGCATTGGCAGGCCAGGGTAGACAAGTCAGTATTGCCATCCATGGATAAATTTTTCATAAGTTACAGGAAAGAATCTGGTCATGTCTGCTGTGTACAACAACTACAGCAATCAGGGAGTATTGTCTTAAATGAATCCTTTTATTTATTGGTGACATCATTATTTAGATTAGTTTGCCCGTGCTAATTAATTTTTGCACAGACTGCAGTGATATAAAGGGCAAATCGTTTTGATGTACCTTTTTTTTCGGACTATAAGCCGCACCCGCCATTAAAAAAAAACAAAACAAAAAAACGAGCGAACATCAACATATAAGCCGCACCGGACTATAAGCCGCACCCGCCATTAAAAAAAAACAAAACAAAAAAACGAGCGAACATCAACATATAAGCCGCACCGGACTATAAGCCGCACCCGCCATTAAAAAAAAACAAAACAAAAAAACGAGCGAACATCAACATATAAGCCGCACCGGACTATAAGCCGCACCCGCCATTAAAAAAAAACAAAACAAAAAAACGAGCGAACATCAACATATAAGCCGCACCGGACTATAAGCCGCACCCGCCATTAAAAAAAAACAAAACAAA